CAGGTAGGACTGTACTGGGCCACGGACAGTTCTATGTCGTATTCTCGAGAGTTAAGAGTCGAATGACATTAAGATTTTGATCAACTCGGAATCTGGCGATACGACCAACATTACTAATAATTTTGTATATAAGGAATTTTTTTCAACGTATATGAAGGTAATCTGTATAAATTTTTATACAATATTATATATGGCCTTTATTCTATTACTTATATGTTTTGTTATTACTTAAATGGACTCCATTTAATATTTTTCATGGAGGTAATTTGTTAGAATGATTTTATGTCCTTAAAATTTTATATTGGTATTGTTTCGGTAACGTTTTACTTATTTCGTATGATCATTGTACAAAATATGTAGGTCAATGCACTATATTGGATTTGTTATATGCGTTTAGGGCGGTTGGTATCAAACGCAATAACATCGATTATATGGATCAAATTCAAGTTTTGAACATAGATAAGTCATTATAGTTGTACAAGTTTTGGACCAACGATATATCTGTTCTTTTTATGCTGAAATTAAAACCTTCGATGTTTAGTTTTTTCACTTATTTGGCTTATTTCATCTTTTACACCATACAAATTAGTTTTATTTTTTAATATTTTCTACTTCTTTAATTGTATTACATATCAACAATTGATCTTACTATTTTGAGAACCTTTTTATTATTAAACATTTATTTTACAATGAATACCCCGTGCATCGCACGGGTGTAGTACTAGTTATATCTAATATTGATGGAGGTGGTGTTCCAATTATTTGATAATCGACTTATTTGCACTTTTTCCCTTTCCAGCTCATATATAGTGTATGTTTTACAAATAGTTTCAACATTAACTTGATACCCCCAAGACACTATTTAGGGACCCCTTGCCTTGAAAATAAAGAACTTAATCTATCTTCAATTTTGAGAATACTTCAAACGAAGAAAAATGGACAAGACCGCGGTCTATCTCTTTCGCTTCGCTGTGGCTTTTCCCGTTTTGAACTTCTTTTTGAATTCAAAATGAATCTCCGAAACGAGAAACTTTGGTGTTCAATTCTTTATTGATTTGTCTCTTTTGAGATGATGTAATATTATAGCGGGGGAATGGCATAGGGAATTCAACACAAAAATTTCGATGCAAAAATACGTCCAACAAAGAGAGCATAACAAATTAATTGATCAACCACCCAAACAACCTCTCATTGATCGACTTTAAATATTTTAAAAAGTGATGCATGAATAGTTTGATGCTCGTAGTTGGGGTAAATATTTTTTTAAAGAAGCATCAAATGAGCAATTTTGTGATCCATTTTTATGTTCATATTTTGATTCCAATTTGTAGTAAGTGATAATGTTGGGCTACGATCTATCTTCATTACAAGCTGAAGAAATAAAATGGCTATTTTATAGAGCAGTAAGCTTAAGAGAAGGGAATAGAGGATTACATATTCGGCTAAGAAAGAAAGGAACGACCATCGTCATAGTCAAACGGTTGTGTCGCAGAAAAATGCCAAAATCCATTCAATGCGGAGGTACGATAAGATGAGAGAGGAAAAATATTAGAAATTAGGATTTGAGAGAGACAGAGGTAAAATACCTCTAGTAGGGAGGGGGTTTGGTTCAATCGGTGTAAATCAAAGGCCAAGGAAAAAAAAAAAAAAAAAACCTAAAAGTCCCTTTCAAAGGTTTGACAGGATTCCCAGTGAGTTTGACCTAAGTGTTGAACTTCTGAATAGTTGGGTCGCATTTGGGTTAATGGGCTGAATTCCAAATAATTCAGTTGGCCCAAAATTAGTGCTTTCACTATAAATAGTTCAATATTATGATGTATTTTAATTAGTATAATAGGGATAAGGAAATAAGATTTCTTAAATTTGCCAATTTTAGTGTGCAAATATACTCTATACGTAGGGATGGCAATGGGTACGAGTTTGGCGGGTCTTGGACCCGGAACCGACCCGTTTGGGGCGGGTGTGGGTCAGCTAAATAGTTTTGGGTCGGGTAATGGGTTTAAATTTATAGAACCGGATGGTTCTGGTTCGGGTTATGAGTCTTATTGGAACCGACCCGGAACCGACCCGTATATATATATATATATATAATTTTGAGTTTCATTTATCAGACTATCAATTTCCATACATCTTGACTATTCTCATTTACCTATTTTCACTATTTTATTTTTCAAATCTCATTTCTCGTGAGTAATATTTATCACTTGTCGACCACCGCTAATTGTCTTACATTTTGAATTTTACTTATTATCGAAGTTAAATATAATTAATAGTAATTTTATTGTTCATATTATGTCACTTGTAGAGATTTTTTAAAATGTTGTATTTTAGTATTGGAATTATTTCATAAAAACATCCAAGCAAAATGTTATGAAAGTTAAAAAATATTAAATTTTTTGTATGTTAATGGGTCTAGCGGATCTGGCGGGTCGGAACCGTTTAGTTAGGGTTTGGGTTAGGGCAGGTCTGGGTCTAAACTAAAGCGGGTTGGGGCGGGTCTTGGGTTTATATATTTTTCGTGGGTCGAGTCTTGGGTTTAGGCAAACCCAGCCCAGAACCGACCCGTTGTCGTCCCTATCTATACGTCTGATTTTCCAAAAAATATTAAATAAAAACCGAACGGAACTAAAATTACTTTTCCACTTTAGCAAAAAATAAATAAATACACAACAAAAATAAATTATAAATGCTATTTGTCCTATATTAACATCACCTAATCTTTTGCCATTGTGAGCCATATAGAAATCTCTAGAGATTTCTAGATATTTCCATATGAAGTTTCTAGTTCCTTTCTTCCCCTACATTTATGTTTCATGTGAAATGACCATTCATTTGGGGAGGGACAGTACTTATTTCATGTTGCCACTGACATGCATATATGTAAATAATGTAACATCTCGTATGTATATATATATATATATATATATATACTTTCTTTACATATATGTCATAAAAACAAGGGCATCTACTAACTAATAATAAACCTAACTTTTTGAGCACGTACTATTTGAAATATAGGTGGTGTTTGCAAACACTTTTTGAAAGTGATTATGAGCTTTTTTTTGTTTATATGTGTTTGCAAAATCAACTTTTGCTTTTGCTTATCTTAAAATAATCTGTTTTGAGCAATATTTTTAAAAGCACTCTTAGCCCTGCTTTTCTATTTAAGTTCATTTTCCGGAATATTTGCAAATACCTCAAACTTTTAGAAATAAGTTCTTAGGTGGTGTTTGCAAATGATTATTTAAAAGCAGAAGTTAGTTTTAAGTGTTTATTTCTAAAAGTTGGGGGTGTTTGCAAATATTTCGGAAAATGGACTAAAATTGAAAAAGCAGGTTAGTTGTGCTTTAAAAAAAATAGCTTAAAACAGATTATTTTAAGAGAAGCAAAAGCAAACGTTGATTTTGCAAACACCTAAAAACATATTATGAGCAAAAAAAACCGCATAATCACTTTCAAAAAGCATTTACAAACACCATCTAAGTAATTAAAGTCACAAAAGGCCTGCAGGTGGCGGTATAGTACTGAAATGACAATTATATACAGAAGTGACGTTTCATATATAGGGGTGCATCAAAACTTGACTCACATGCATTTGTCTCCCATTTTTTTTTAATTTACACCTCACTTCTAATTTCTCTCTTTCTAGGGCTAACTAGAGATACCTTATCTTTCTTATCAGTTATCACAACACCCACTATATATATATCTGCGTGTGTGTGCATCAAATCACATCAAATTCAGTGTCAGATATTCAAGAAAACCCTAATTTCTTTTTTTGTTTGTTTTAGTCGATTTCGTTGAGAAAAGAGAGAGAGAGAGAGAGAAGTAATGGCGAAGAGTAGTAGAAATACAAAAGGAAAGAAAAAGAATATTAATATTGGTGGTATATTAAACCTGAATATAGTGGTGGAAAGGCTGCAGAAGAGTCTACTTTCAGGCGGCGGCAAGAAGTCTTACTCCGGCGAAAAAGTGCCGGAGGATGTGAAGGAAGGGCACTTTGCGGTGATAGCTGAGGAAGAAGATGAGTTGAAGAGGTTTATTGTGCCTTTGAATTATCTGACGCACCCTTCTTTCTTGAGGCTATTGGAACTAGCTGCTGAGGTGTACGGCTTCGACCATGGCGGAGCGCTGACTGTACCCTGCCGCCCGGTCGAGCTTGAGCGGATACTGGCCGAGCGATGGGTGGAGGACGAAAGGGTTTCTACGGTGGCTGATGCTGGTGGTGCAGATAAGTGGGGTTCGTGCAATGAAACCACTGTGTGGAGCTACTGATGCATGATCAAATTAATTATTAAAGGATGTTGTTCGTTAAATTAAATAATGTTGTTAATTGTCATCAACTCGGATGTGTACTATTCCTAGAGTAAGATCATGAGGTTGTTAATTCCATATATTAATTCCACATTTGTTAATGTCAATATTTCAGTTAATTAATTAATTAATTAATATATATTATATATATATTTATATAATGTTCTTTTTTGTAAGGCAAATCTAAGAAGATTAATTAGTTTAATATAATTCGTGTAGACACCAGATTTAGTAATCTGTCGTAACAATAATCCGTCTCAACATAATTAATAGATTTCTATAGGTAAATAGATCAACAATTGGTGTGTGCATGTTTGTCTTCTTTGGGCTTAAAAAATAATGAGGATAATTATTGGTTATGTAAATAATGTATTTTGAACATGGGGAAAGGAATATTTTAATTTATTTAATAATAAATATGGTTAGAATCCGTTCAGATGTGATGAATACAAAATTTTGCGATAACTCATCAAGAGGTTGCAGGACTCATTCAGATATTGTACTAACTCAATTAATGACGGGTGTGCTTAATAAATTAGGAAAATAGTCATAAGAGATTTATTAGGAGCAATCAAACACGCACAACATTATTTAGACTCATTCAGATATTGTCACCTGACTCACTCAATGGTCATTCGGAGATTTATTAAGATAAATCAAACACAACTAATTTAGTTTTAAAACTGTACGATTTTTGAGAAAAAAAAATTACGAAAACACTTTTGAAAAGCTTATAAATTATTGAGCTATTTCACAACTTGTGTTTTGGATGAACTTATAATTTATCAATTGGATTAATTAGATTTTGGTATGAGGAAATTAGATATTAAAAAAATGTAATTTTGTAATTTACCTGTTGAGTTGACTGGAACTAAGCATATATGTCAATCAATTAGGGCAGACAACGGTAAGCGGGGTCCCACAATGTTTTCGTCAGTGACCATTAACCACGACTTTTGATAGACACGCTTTCATTTGTTCATATTCATGGACAATCCGTACAGTACTATATTATATATTAATTATATGCAGTATCATGAAATTATTGAATTATACCACTATGATTAATTCATTTGTTATCATTTTGTTATACTAATCAGTAATCACCCATGCAATTTTATTTTTCTGGGAAAATTACGGTAACTGGGTAATGTCAAATGACAAAAAAACTCGGAATAACATACAAGTTAAACAATGCGAATATACAATTAAATTAATACAGTCAGGACTTGTAAAATTTTATTAATTTGGCCAAATACTAAATTATCGAACTAATAATTTAGTAGGTTTTTACCGAATCGCAACCAGAAGAAACTATTATTTAATCAAAATTATTAATTTACTAGTATTAATTTATAGGTATTCTAATGTACTAACATAAATAGAAATAAAAAGTAGACTTGCGTGTCCAGCTACTTATGTTCTGCCGATGGATATATTTTCAATTGGTACTGAAATCAATGATTCAATTCACTTTAAAATCAAATACTGTGTCATTTTAGAATGCCAATTTTTTTTATCAAATTAAAAAAAAAAAACATACACATCCATAACTTTATTCACACCCAAAAAAATAAAAATCCAATAATATGAAACACGCCAATGAATAATACTGATGCAAATTAAATACATACTTCAATCATGAAGAATGCTAGTAAAACAAATTAACAAAACCATGTATATATATATATATATATATATATATATATATATATATATATATATATATAGGAGGGAAATCCTTGTGAGAGTCAGAAGAATATTTGTTGAAGCAAAGTCTGCTACCAAAGAGGAAGAATCCGAAGATATGTCCGGCGACGGCAACAATGAATACACCGCCGTTGAACGACATGATTGCCAGCATCACAATATAAGCCAAAGCTATCCTCATTCCGTGCACCACCGTCCTCATCAGACCACCGGAAAAGTCGCCGGCGTTCCTTGTCTTTCGGCAATGGGCCAGCCACTCCACAATGACGGCGAGGATGAAAACAAATAGGAGGGCTAGAACGTACATACCCGCGCGTGTTCCGGGCCAACCCGAGAAGAGGATTTCCGAGTTCTTTCCCCAGAAAAAGGTCATATGTGTCATCCCCATAGCCGAGTGGTGCTCCATTCCGCCGCCGCCGGCGGATGGTGGTGGTGGCGGCGTTGCCATTCCGGGCATATGATCATGATCCATTACAGTTGTTTAATTTGACATGTATGTATGGAATGAAGCAGAAGAGTTGAGTAGATAATTTATATAAACACAGCTATAGTTATGTACTGCATTGGATAAGCTTTTTAAGATAATAATAATTAATAAATAAATAAATAAGCATTTAATTATATAAGCTATAAGTTACTCCTTTTAGGTACCAAATTATATTTCACTATAGCATACTAATAATAATTAATTTCAATTTTGTCATTTAATAAAATAGTTTTAAGAGAATTAGTTGAGAAACAATTAACTATACGATGAGTATTTTTAATCGTTTTCCGTATTTTTTTTAATTCGATAAAGAGAGAAGGAAGTGGTCTGAATGGCATGCTTCATGCCGTTAACAAGCAGTTTGTCTCTAATACCTCGTGATCCATACAATTTTAACAGACACATTGCCTGGTTCTATTTTATATATAATTATTTGCTTAACTTATATAACTTATTAATAATAAGGAGCTGACTTTCACTACTTTAAACTTTGTTTACATTAATTAACTAATTGAAGATCAATAACTCTTTTGGTAGTACAAGTCTAATTAGTACTCCTTATGTATCCTCAAATTAAATATGCAATTCCCATTTGACTTGACCGTATGAATTTTATATATTAGTTGACAAGATTAAAAAAATAATTTTTTTTTTGAAGTATTGTATCATATGATTTTATGAAGAAGTAGTGGTTTCACATTATTTTGAATGACATATGAAAAATTTTATTCTTAGAAAAAATAAACTTCTTTTCAGATAATATGGTAATAAAGAAGTATGAGTCATAATTTTATTAACAAATAAATAGTGTTTTAGTTCGGGGTAAATAACATTTACCTCCCATGTGATTTGAATTTTGAACACGTAACCCTCTTGTATATTAATATAAGCACATAGCCCCATTGTACTTTCAAGAATTTCTTCTTGTGGAATACCATAGGAAGATTATGTGCTTATATTAAAAGTACAAGGGAGTCATGTGCACAAAGTTCAAACCGCAGGGGTTTAAGTGCTATTTACACTTTTGTTTATATCATATTCACAGAAGCAGTCAATTTGACATTTAAATCTGAGGAGAAGAACAGTGTAAATACGGCCCAAGAAAAGTGAGACTCGGTCCAATTATATTATGTGTTAAGCCCATTAGTCATTATTTGGGTCCAAATATCTCTAAAATATTTCATTTCATATTTTAATTCAAATATTCATGCTAATGGTGTATAAATAAATATTCCTTAATAAGTATGTAGTTCAAAATATAATATTTTATAATTTTATATGTATACATTATATATGTGAATTCTTTTCTATAATTGGATTGATGAGGTCAAATATAAAAAAATATTTAATTAAGCAAACATCAAATTAGGTGCAATTATTATTGTAATTAGTTATAAAATATTGTTATATAACCATAATGATTATCCAAAATTCAGTTCTTTTATCTTCCCCACAACTCGTCCACAATATATAGTCGTGCATCCATAATGGACGATAACGTTGTTTTCTTTTTCATTTGGTTTTGTCCACATCATGAAAAAAGAAAATTAAAAGTTGAACCAAAAATGGACTCTAAATAAAGTATTAACCAATTGAAAATTGAGTTCGAGTAGACTTGACTTGAGCCATTGAAAAGGGACAGCTGGTAAATAAATATAGACATATTTGCCCCCCAAGTCCTTCCTTCCTCGTGCCTTTTCATCCCTCTCTCGTTCTTTTCCAGCCTGCATCATTATTATCTTGAATTATTCATTCATCAATTATCTTACATAAAAAATTACGGTTATCACTGAGGTAAGATTAAAAAAAATCCCGTTTGCATAATTATAAGGATCCATCAACTATGAATCTTCTTATACGTCCATTCTTGCGGTGTCAAATTTAGTGATTTTTTTTAGATTAAGCGGAATATCATCTACTTTATACTCATTTGAATCCCACATTTTGAAACAAGATGATCATAAGATGTGTCTATTGGCTTGTAAATATCAGATTGTGGCGCATCAGAAACTCCATTTTTGCACAAAACGAGTACAAACTAGAGAACATTCCACGAAACCTCTTAACCAAACGCAATGAAAATGAATTAAGAATTAAGGATATGTGAACTCCATCTCCAAGTATGTAAAATTTAATTTCTTGAACTATATTTATTGGTTTTTGTTTTTATTTTTATTTTTGCCAAAGAAGACTTTTTATGTACAAAAAATCAGAGCATGCTTCCCCTTTTGAGTCATTTTAGCATGCTTAGGGCGAATTAGTATGGTTCATTATGTATCAATTAGTGACTAATTAGGGTGATTTTCATTTTGTCTCCCAATAAAGAATTGATTACATCTATAAAAAGGTAACAAGACATTCTTTTCATCTAAACATCAAATCTTGTCAATATTTATGAATCTAATCAAGCATAATCCAATATATATATATATATATATATATAGATATTGGTAAGTATATATTGAAAACCAGCCACATGGGATATATAATCTCAAGTAATCATGACGACTAAGTGAAATACCCCACTCAGCAGTCATGATATGATGCACATGGATTTGGAATCCAACCCCTATATATATCCTTTCTTCTTTTTTGTTTTTTCTGAATTGTTTAAAAGCACGCTTATTCCTTTAATTTTTTGTATTTTTTTGTCTTCGCGTTAGCACTTTCTACGAATTCGAATGTTGCATGAAGCTGGCACGATGAGACCATATATTAAATTGCACTTTTGAGTAGGTGAAATATGCTTGGTTGTTGTCCACCCGACACTTGTCAATTTCTTACAATTCATTGATATATACTCCAATTTTTTTTGTATGGGCAATAAGGTTGTTATAATTAAGATGTACATATTTTATTCAATTAGGGACTATTATATAAGTACATTAAAAATTAGGTAAATTAATGTTGCCCTCCTGCCTCCAGATTCCAGGTTAAATTACGAAAAAATTCATTTATGTTTGGGTAATTACAACCAACCTCTCATTTATGTATTTTCTTACGAAACACTTCTTCATTCAGTAGGTAAATTTGACATTGTAAGGGTGAACGTGTAAGACAATACATAATTGAGAAGTGAATATAAATATCACAATATAATGGGTTTTTTCGTAATTTGAATTTACCTTCAGGGGTGGCCATAATTTGCCCTAAAAATTATCTAAATGAAAGTATTATAACACGTGATTGTATTTTGTAAACATAATTATAAAATATTCATTATCTAAAATTTGAATAAAATTTATTTCTCTTGTTAGTGTTACTTTTATGGAGAAAAGGGCTCAAATACAGCCATCTCAATTATTTGTTGTTTGAATGTTTTCTCATTTTTCGTTATTATTGATATTGTAGCTCGTATTTTAATAGTATCAATATATATGAATAAAGAGAAAATATTATTTTAATAAAATATACTATTCTGATTTTCCGAACTTTCATTTTAGATAAGTTTGTAAACTATAGTAGCCTTCCTAATTTATATGTAGGGCTCTTCTCAGTGCGTTACACTACCTACAAAAGAGTGGGTTGATGGATGATGTCTATATTTATAATTATAACAGCTGATTAATTAGTTGTTTGATTCATTTTATTAAAGAATATTTATTAGTAATTTAATAATGATTCATAATTATTAACCGTTTCACTAAAATGCTTACAGGGAGGAAAAAAAAATGAATCACCAATCCATCCATCAAACTTCATGTGATTGAGTTCTTTATGGTGGCAATGTAATTATACAGCACTTTGCAGAAGAATAAAATAATGAAGAGAATTAACTATATATATATATATATATATATATATATATATATATATATATATATATATATATATATATATATATATATATATATATATATATATGAAATAATTTATGAATTGATGTAAGAATTTCAGGTGGGAACATGAAAAAGCAGAGCAGGTGCAGTGGCTATAGTTTTGGTGCAAAATGCAGAGGAAAAGCCAAAGGGGCACAGTTGTATACCACAAATATATACTGGTCCTTTACATTAAATTAAATAAACACACATCTTATTTATTTTATTGTCCAAAACATAAGACAAAAATAATTTGCTTGCCTTATGAAAAATCATTGACAAAAGGTGCTCTCATACTTGTCTCCATCTAACTAGCAACTATTATGCAAATAAAACTACCTCAGAATCTAATTCATATATTCTTTTTTTTATTTTATTAAAGAGAAATGCCCCACTCCTTTTATTTAATTAATATTTATCATATATATCATAATATCTTCCCCTAGTTAATCATATTAATTTACATGTCCTCCCTCGTTTAAATAGTATAAATTAATAATTTTGTTTAATATTATGTTTTAAGCAATGATGACTAAATTAACTAAAAAGGGCTATTATTTAAAACATATTCATAAAAAAGAATGATACGTTAAATTAAAAATTATTAGTTCTACTACAAAATTAATAGTGATCAAAATTTGATAGCCAAAAAAAACAAAAACGTAATCCTAGTAAAAATGCGTGGCCAAATATGGAAAGTGGACCTTGTACAATAAAGAGAAGCGAAAAGACGAAATTGCCATGGGAATACTAATCTTATTTACATACTGCCACTCTCACATGACAGTGCACGCGTTTGGGTTCTCATCGCTAAACATCTGAGGCGCGTGGTACTGATGAAACTCGTCCCCGAATACACCACCCGGCCCGTACATCACCGGGTACGGGTTCGGCCCAACCATCTGTGACTGCTGCTGCTGCTGCTGCATCATCTTGTTCCCTTCCATCTTCTCATCACCACCGCCGCCGCCGCCGCCTTTTTCCTTATTCTCATTCTCCTTCTTCGAGGGCACAATTTCAACATTCTTCTTCAGATGCTTCTGGAGATTTTCAGCTAGGGCTTTCATATCCATGGCGCCCGTCACTCTCACGAGATCCTTTTGCTTGTCGATTTCCATATCCTTGTAGCCTGCAAATTAGACGCCGTTTAAACTCGCCGTCAGAAAATATAATCATTTTTTTTTTCAATTTAAATTGAAATCTCACCTTTGGTTTTGGAGATGGTTTTGTATATCTTCTGAATGCATCCATCGCAGTGCAAATGCACCTTCAGCACCGCCGTGGTCACCGGTGGCTGCCGGTCAATATCGTAAATTAGGATGATTAATATTTAAAAATTGAAAAATTAAATAATAAAAAAATAATTACTGAAAAGGAAGGGCACAATTGATGGGAGTGAAAACGGAGAAACGTGGAGTACACGCAAGCAGGAATTGAAAGAAATTGACGTGAAATGTCGGAAGCACCACTATGGCGCAGCCTAGCAAAGTGCTGGGTGCTAACCTGCGCTGGCTGGCTGGCACATGAGTTTCCGGATTCGCCGGAATTAAATAAAACTGACTGACTGAATAATAAAGAAATACAAAATCTGAATTCTAATTCCTAAGCAACCCAATTAAAAAAAATATAACGGAAAGTGAAAATACTTTATTAATGCATTTAACAAATTAACGTACGGTGCTGCTGTTAAAAAAAACAAATTAACGTACGCTGGAAAAAGACAAAAAAAAGCAGCACATCAGAATTTTGCCAAAACAGACACCACCATTCATTAATGCCAAACACAAAACACAGAGAGAGGCGCACATTAGGGAATAGCAGCAGCGAGCTATTTGGCACCAGAAAAAGCACAAATTAAATTATTTGAAATTTAATTTGAAAGAGTACCTCCTTTTGATTTGGTTTCTTCTTCTCGTCGGATTTTTCATTTGATTTTTGGTCTTTGGATTCATTTTTCATCTCCTGCTTCCCATTGCCGCCGCCGCCGGCGTTCTCTTTTCCATTGCCGTTACCTTTGTTATCGCCGTCTTTTTTAGGGTGGGGTGAAAGGAGCTCGACCTTTTTGTGAGTTTTCAGCTCCAATTTCTCCCGGAGCTTCGCCGGATCCACATTACCCACTACCGTAATCTTCTCCCCTTCTCCAATTGTCACCGAATCCACACCTATTAAACAAAGCAGCACAAATTTCAATCTCTTTGAAGCAACAAATAATCGTAAATCAACATCATATTAAAATATATAAATAAAATAAAGCACACAGCGTATATAGTATATACTAAAAAACAGAGGAATCACACAGTAAAGGAATTTTGGAAATAATCTGAAGGAAATAATTGCAGAGAGAAGCACTAAATATAGAAATTATTCGGTTTATTATGAATTAATTTATTTAATTACCACCAAAAGAGTGGATGCACTTGATGATTTTGGAAGCGCAGCCGTCGCAGTGAAGGTCAGTTTTCAGCACCACCGTGGCATTGTTTTTTCCTCCGCCGTTGTTTTTGTTGTTGTTATTTCCATCCTTTTGCTCTCCTTGATTGTTCTTGTTCTTCTGCAATATCCAATAAAATAAAATAAAAACAGAGAAATAAGAACAAAATCAACAGAGAGAGAGAGAGAGAGATGATGATACCTCACCCATTGCCGCAGCTGATCTTTAGGTTTCTGGGGTTTTGCTTCCCTTCTTTATGGGTTTTTGTAGTGCAGAATTATAATTATGAAATCAACGAGAGGGGATTTATATAGAAGAGTACAAAGGGTAGTGCGATGTGCGTGTGCGCGCGTGTGTGTGTGTGCGCGAGGATAGGTTTATTTGGCGTTTCTATATAAAAAATAGGTTTAATTGACTTTGGTAATTATTCCTTTTTTCCTCTAAATTTGATTGTTTAGACTTTTAAGGAAATAAACAGTCTTAGGACTTATATAAGGGAAATCAAATTGTCTGTTGGAGAAAGTTAACTAATTTAACAATTATCTTAGATTATTAAAAGAACATAATATTAATTAATAAATAAATAATAAAAAATCTACAAAGCCAGATTTTGTTTATAATTCTCTTTATTACCAACGCCATAAATTATTTACCAAATATATAAAATCAAAGAATTCGGAGTTTAAATATAATTGAGTTAACTAGAGTTGTGCTGCCGAGAAATAATAAAGTTTGGGTCCAATCATAAAATTCATATATGGGCCAAAAACTTAACAACTTGGGCCATAATATTGGACTTGAATATAAGTGGGCTGGTTGAGCTTTGAATTTTGTAAAGAGTTTTTCAAAGCTACATGAACAATATATTCTTTTAATGGGCCTTTTATTTTCTTCTTATTTTCAACCAGTCTGAAGTCCAGTATTGACTAATTCATTGGGCTGCTATCCGTTTTATCATACAGTTAAACCTCTATAAATTAATACAGTTGGGACCATTACAATTTCATTAATTTAGCGAAATATTAACTTATCGATAAATTAATAATTATTAATTTATACATTAATTAATAACTTATTAATTTATGAAATTACTTTTATTATTATTTTCAATAAATACATTTTTTTTAATTATTTTACGTGTATATTATCATTGTACCATTACTTCAATGCACTATAGAGTCCGTTTCACGAGCGGAAGCTCTTAAAGCATCAATGGTATATACGATTTTATGTTGAGTTATGAGCGAAAGTTCTAACCATGTTAAGAAAAGTGAGGGACGAGATTGATGATAATGTGAACTTCAACAAGAAATAAGCGACAATAAAATTATATTGTATTAAGCTTTCATAGATCTATAAAATATGTACTGTACGTCTGTACCAGGTAATTTAAGAATTATTTTTATGCATTATTAATTTATATATTATACGGGGCTTCTTAAAATTTTCGAATGTGTATTATCTTATTAATTTAAGCGAGGTTATTAATTTATCGGGTATTAATTTATGGAGGTCTACTGTATTTAAGGGGAATCAATAGTTAAAAAATTAAAATAAACTTTGACACTAAGTAAAAATATAATTAAATATTTAATATATAAAATTCCAATTGCAACCAATTAAAAAGAAACAAAAATATCAAAAATCGAAATTTCAAAATTAAGAATGAAAAAAATCGAAAATTCCGTTTCATCTATCACACCCTTAATTTGAGTGGCTACATGATATTTTCTTCACAAAAGAACTTGTAATTTTGTTTCTAAAAAATATACGTATATTTATATATAATTATCACAATTTAAAAATTGTGTAATTTAAAAAATATTCGAATTGGATATAATATTGTCTCAATTGGAATCGGAATCAAAATCCCAAACATATATTTTTTTCTTTTTCTGGATTTGATACCCCGAAAATATATACTAGCTCTCCAAATCCGATTTTGAATTCACAGAGAATTATTCGGCTTGTGACTCTTCAACGTGGTGCTTGTGGCAACCACTCCAATCTGCAGCCAGATTTTTTAAAGGACAAATTCCAGTTCACTTTACTTCTCTTGTTTGGGCCCACAAACAGAAATTAAATTAATTATTAATATTAAACGTGTGACGGGAAACAATCGTAACCTGGTAAAGAAACAAAACAAATTAAAGGCACGTGGTCAGAAGTCGAAACTCGATGCTGCTGTCCACATGGCGGCCCCCGATTAGTCCAAGGACAAAAACCCACGTGATGAGGGGGTTGCTCATCACGTGGGGCAAATGGTACCGGGACTTTAGGGACCACGTGTAATTGAGCATGATCAGAAAACATATTAGTCGTAGACATGATGTTTGTTTCTAATTTTCTTTTTTTAAAAGATAAGATATTTAAATATAATTATTAAAATGTCTCTCACTTCATGTCTCTTACAAAATATCTTGTTGTCGATGGTTTGAAAAGTTGCCCTCTAACCCGGTCCAAGGATTTTGGTGGATCTAGATTACTTAGTTTAGTAGGAAAATGGGGCCCAACCTCCCTATAAAATGTTTTAATTTGTACAATTAAGAGTCAATCCATACTATTAAAGTCTATCGATCAGCTTAGTTAGACAGTTTAGACTGAAAGAAGAAAGTTTAGATTGACAATTGATATTTTAGCTGCATAATTTGGGCTGAAAAATAACATTTTTTCCAATGAAATTTTAGGCGGTCGACGGGCGTGGACTGGTTGGGAGAGACGGAGAGTGTAAGAATTGTCAATTTTTGAAATGAATGTTGTTTTAAGTTGGAGGATAATAATGCAGTTTTAGTCTAAGACGACTATTTTCTATATAAGCTTTATAACTAAGTTGCTCGATCAATTTTTAGCAAAAATACAAAAATATCACTATTCTGATTTAAAAGAGTATTAGTGTGGAGGGATGTCTAGCAAATTACTCCTCAATTAATTTAAAACTAAACGATATAACTAATCGTTTTTATTTTTAAGGATTCAAATACTTTTGATGATTCAATTCTATAATATCTAATATGATTAGTAACTAAATAAAATAAAATAAAACATAAGGAAAAGTCATAAATCGATTCTTTTATCTCGTTGTATCTAAAGGTAATGGACATTTACTGTATAAAAAAAATTAGAAACCTAAAAGGAAATTAATTAATCCTAAGGAAAAGAAAGGGAGATAAGATAAGATTCTGTAATCTCAACGTACATTATCTGTTGGTTTTATCATCACCATACTAAAAGAAAAGTAAGGTGAGACAAGACATGCATAATTAAATAAATAAATGATTTCCTAATTAATATTATTCAATTATTGATAATATTTAATGAAAAAATATTGGGAAAAAAGAAAAAGGGAAAAGGGAAGAAAAAGACAGAACTAAGTGCATACTTAATATTTATTTCCTGGATATATAATATAGCTGTGGTGGTAAATGGGACACACACACACAAAAACACACAACACACACGCACACGCGCGTGATCAAAAGTCTATATATATACTTACATACACGCGGCATGCAATTGCACCAAACGCCTAAACCTAAATCTGGATCTCCCTCCCTCTCTCTCTCTCTCTCTCTCTCTCTCTCTCTATCTCATCTCTCTCTCTCTCTCTCACTCAAGATGTTGCTTTGATCTGCATTTGCACCTGCACCTTCTTCTCTCTTAAATTCATCAAGAATTTGATGATTAATATGATGAATAAAAGAGGAATTTAAGGGGATGCAGATGCCTATGCAGATGAATGCCACTTTTGGAAATAAAAATCATACCCTTTCTCTCTCCTCCCTCTCTCTCTCTCTAAAAACAAGCCATGTCCAGTGTCATTTTTTAGCTGGTGAGATCTCAATTGGCATCTTTCTTCTGCTTTTATAATTTCTATATATAAATATAATGCGCCTCAATGGAAGCCGCCCCAGTGTGTATTTGAAGGGCTAATTAATCTTCATTGGTTCACAAATGTAAAGGTACAGTCATATATATATTTTGCTCAAGCTTAAATATATTATTTGTATGAATTAGGAAAGAAACCTTATTCGACGATTCTTGATGATTTTTTTTTTATCTCTGTTTAGAAATTTCTGCACTATATAATAGTCCTCCTTTCGACTTGTGTACAATTTCCATTTAACTTTACCATATTAAAAAAAATCTTTAACAGAACATCAAAATTGAATTGTTTGTAGAAAATTAAATACCTGTAGCTGCCTCTACTTTGTATGAATGCTTAATGTTTGTGCAATACATATTGGGGATACACGTGGCCATTGATTTGGTTCTTTTGGTTCCGATATGAGTTCCATTTACCAATTCTCTCACTGTACTCGTACTTAATCTTGTTTACTTATATAATTTAGTACCTAATTAGTTGGTCGGATCACCGAAATCCGAGCTCATGAATTTAAATTTGTTTCTTGGGGGTTTTTGTTTCGGACTGAAACACGACGGGGTGTATGAATATTTTTTAATTATGTCGAATTAATCCTACAGAACAAATCGATTTTTGGAATGGACGGAAAAATGGTAGAAAAATCTCCAACAAATAAAGTGGAAAATGAAAGAGCAAAAATGAATTAAACCCTAATTCTAATTATAGATCTCTTTTTTTTGTGACAATCCAATTTATGGTACACTCGTCTTATGTTTTTATGAATTGATATGAATTAAAATAAAATGATTAATGAAAATATAATAACAAATGATTCGTTTTCGAATTCTCAGTTGAGGTGTGAGATTAATGAAGAGTTCTGTAACGGACGGACGATATATAGACTCCATTTTTTTTTTATAATCAATCAGGGAAGTAAAATTCAATTTCAGTCATGGGAATTAGATTGCCCCCTATTTCATTTACAAATGAAAATAAAATTACGAGGTTAGATTAGAAGAAAAAATATTTGAATTTAATATTCTTTTAATATAACAGAATATATCAGCAGAAAAAGAAACGAGTAAGAGGTGGTAGAAGTTTTAAGTGGAGTTTGTCTCACTTTTTTTGGGAGGAAGTGTACGTAATTTTTTTCTAACTTTTTAGGTATTGTTTTCCTTGAACCAAACAGATCCGTAATCATAACCAAAACAAATATACATCGATAAACAATAAGTACATTTATTAGTGTGACTATGAGTTTGATTGATCAATTTGAGAAGTATATCGTTTTGTTTTAGTTTGTCGATAAATCAATCACATTAATCACTATGGGATAAATGTCATTTGTCATGAGTATATGTTATTAGTACATAGTGAGCTGTAAGTACTAGCAAGGAGCCACCACCTGTGTAGTGAAATAAGATTGGTGATGTGGCAGATGAGTTGTAGTTGCTTGCGCCCATGTGTCAAAATTGAAGAAACAAGTAGGAGAAGTGGACGATGGAAGAAACAAGTTGGGTCACCCCTTAAACTCCATCTTTGGATGCTCCGAATCGGTTAATTATGCTCATACGAGAAGCTTTATTGGCTAGAAGAACAATTCAGTTGTAGCGCAATGGTCGATTAAGTGGGCACATTTGCCAACCGAAGAAGCTACACGAGATCAGAAACATAAGAGGTTTGGTCAGAAATTTCCCACCTTCAAGCAATAAGTCATTGCTCTTTAAGGGGGGAAGAAATGTAACGAAATAATCTGTTTTTCTTTTTTCCAATTCATGGAACGATGTCGTTTGGAGCGTAGAAAAAGTGCCACTCGTTTCTCTAAGTTAGTCAACATTTTCAATTTGATAAATGAGGTAGATTTAGAGGCAATGCCTATTTGAATTTTTCCTTAATTGGTATTCAGAATGTCACAGAGTCTTTTGGGATTATTAGCTTGTTAATCATGTATTAATTTTTGGCATTAAATATCATATTGAACATATACGTGCTGCAAAAGTCTAATTTCTTTTCCCCACACAGGCATATATACCAAAGTTGCTCTGGTCTGTTAAAAAAAATAATCTATATATAAATATATATTATATCTATGGTACCTAACTAACAAATACTAGCAGATAAAGGCTGGACTATGAAATTTTATGCTTCTTTCTTTAGCAAATATTTTGTCTAGCTCTTCAATCCCTTTTCCACCACGTACCATATGTATATTTTAATCCTAAAGGGAAACAAAGGTCTTTTAATATAAACACATCTTTTGACTAATTAATAAAATATTCATGTGTGACAGCAAAGATAACGTAAGATATTGCAATTATTTTTATTTTTTTTTGGTAATGCAGGAACCCGCAGCCAACCATATAGGTGCACTGGGTAAACCTACACTCTCGTATAATAGCTTGCAAACCATACGAGAGATGTAAACCACACTAGGCTAACCATGTGTGACAAGCTCGACCTAGCGACCGTTGGCAAGGGAATTCGAACTTGGGTCAATTGACCCAAGCTCTCTTGCTCCAACCGCTAGGCCACACTTGCGGGTTAAGATATTGCAATTATTATTTTATCATATCATATCATATCATATCATATATATATATATATATATATATATATATATATATATATATATATATATATATATATATATTGATGATGCTAAGATTTAGCTCACCTAGGATAATGTAGAAAACGAGCTGGGAGAGCAAAGCTGATCAGTAGCTAGTCAATTCGATGCTCCTGAGGTCCCTGCGAAAATAGCACACGTGAACTAAGCCGGGGGTTGATCCGGCGGAAACCCCTCAGATTCCAACGCCAACCGTACGGATCGTAGAGAGAGTAGAGAGAATAAAACTCGAGATGAATTGTCAATAATGAGAACGTACCTTTACAAATGAATAAAACTTCTATTTATATGTCGTTGATTGAGTTGGGCTTATTTTGTTGGGCCCAAGCCTTACTTTGAAGGTGCTTGGGCTTTCGTGTAATGGGCCCGAACACTTTCGTGTATTGGGCCTAATTATTAAATAAATTGGGGCCCATTGGGTCGGCCCAATTAGGTATATCATTAAGCCCCCCAACTCTCGATTCGAGACGGGGGCTTGTGTAGAGGGATCCGGGTCGTGTCGAGAGTTAATTGCGTCGTGGAGTGAATTGTTTCCGTTGGTGGTGAATTAATTTCTTACTTTAAATAAGGGATAATTGTATTTATTTGGCAACCAGGTATATATTTAAGGGTCTTAAATAATATACCCGGGCCAGGTAAATAGACTCCTTCTGCGGTGGAAAGAATTAAACGTCATCTCTTGCGTAATAAACATGGGTATGTACTTTTAACTTTAGGTCTTCTTTGTGTTTTCTTCTCTTGAAATTTTTATTTTGCGGTAGAGTAGAAATTTTTTGTTTCTTGATTATTTCTTCGGTGAAAAAATTTTCTCATGTCGTACTCGGGTAATTCGAAATCTTTGCGAATTAAACTTCGAGATCCGGTTGAAGGGGGCAAGAAAACTTTTGGTACGGTAGGTATGAAACGCGAGAAGGTAGTAGTATCGGGAGGAGAAATTGAATTCCCAGTAGGTGGTGTACGGTTCGAGGGAAGAAGGAGATGTAATAGTGGCTTGGCTGATGAGGAGAGCTTGAGCCGCGCAGCCCCATGTCATGGTTTGGGAGAGCGCGCGCGCTTCGAGGGAGCCAATAGAGTTGGCGGCTCGGCTTGGAAGCATGGCTTGGTGGTTGGCTCTCTGTCCAAGGTGAGGAGAGAGATGGAGAATGCTGCTGATGTGAGTGGCGAGTTGACCAAGGAGAGGAGAGAGAGGGAGATGGGTGCTGATGGGATTTGCACGTTGACCGAGGAGAGGAGAGAGGGGAGGTGAGGGCTGCTGAGCTGACGCGCGCGTCAGTCACGCCTTCCGAGGCACGTGCGCGCGCGTCAGCTGATGGGAGAGAGAAAAAGATGCGTGCATCTGGGGCGGTTTTTGGGCGACGCGCGCGCGTCGGGCGCGGAAGCCGAGGGTGACGCGCGCGCGTGTCATCATAATGAGGCTGTTGTGCATGGCAGCGCGTTGGGGGGGGTTTCTCAGGCACGTGACCGCGCGGTCGGGGCCCGTTTTCGGCGCTCGTCGCGGGGAAATGATGTGCGGGAGCCGGTTGATGACGCGCGCGCGCGTGAATCAGCCCCTTTTGGGGTCACGCGCGCGCGTGAGGGCGCGTTAGAGCATGGATATGGGCCCGATTCTGGTGAAATCGATGGGCGAATCGCTGAGAATGTTGGTGCACTTGGTGTTTTAAACGAGGGTAGTTTAGGACGGCGAGAAATCATCGAATCGTGGAGTGATGATGTGGAAACGAATAATCACGTTAATGAGCAAGTGGATGGAGTTGTGGCCAGTAGGCGTTATTCTCGACGTCAAATCGTGGATTTTGGGAGCGATAGCGACGATTCTAACCACGCCCCTTTGGCGAGTGATCATGTTGTGTCCAGTAGTGAAGTTGAGCTGACAGATGAAGACGAGGAGGAAGATGATATTCCGCCGGGTGATATTGAGATTGATAAGAGGAGGCAAAAGAAAAAGAAGCCAATTAATTTGGACTTAGTTGATTTTGATAGTGTATTGACGGAAGAGCATTTGCTCTCTATTCGTCGTCTGTCTGGAGCGCCAAGTAATGTCGAGTTGCTGTTGCCTCAGAAGGGCGACCGTTTGTATTCGCCACCCGATGGATTTCATACGGTGTTTTTGGCGTACTGACGTGTACATCTCAGATTACTCCGCATCTGACCTTGTTGAAGGTTTGTGAGGAATTCAAAATAGGGTACAGTCAGTTAACTCCGACTGCAGTACTTATGTTCGAGGCGTTTCATCATAGGGTGTCTTGAGTGGGTTTGCCTATGACCGTGAGTTTGTTCAAGGCGTTATTTACGCTACATCGGCCCAATGAGATGCCTTTCTTTTGATTTCATCCTCGCTTTCACTACCAATTTGTGAAGAGTGTGAAACTATCTTTGGGGAAATGGAAGACTTATTTTATTTACGTGAGGGCTCCCACTTTTGACGTTCCCGTAGTTTGGAATCCTACGTGTGAGAGTTTCACGATAACTGCAAATATGGCGAAGAGGATTGAGGAATCTGGGTTGTGTGATGTGGAATTTGATCCGAGGAGTTTGATACCAAAGGTGAAGGGTCAGCACCGTATATCCTTTTGTTGCCTTGACTTGTGTTTTGTTTTTCTTTTTTTTTTTTTTTTTTTTTTTTTTTTTTTTTTTGTAGTTCTTTGGTAGTGTATACCTCATGTCTCTTATGTGTTTGTTATTTTTTGTAGATGGGGGTATCACCTTTGCGGCACTTCAAGCTAAGGCGAATAGGACGTCGAAGAAGGCATCGAAGAAGGTACCCTCTACGTTGGGAGGTTCTTCAAGTGGTTTGCTTCGTGAGGAGGTCCATGTAGAAACTCCTCGAGTAGTCGCAGATGATCGTAGCAGTGCTGGTGAAGTGGAGGGGCGGCCGCTGATGAGGGATCGTGGCAAGGGAAAGAGGGTGGATACCGAGTATGTGGCTGTGCCTAAGCGTCCGCGGGTAGACCCAGAGGAGACTTATGCTTTCCATGGTGGAGGAGGGAAACAATTGTTTACTTATGGTGTGAACCGCGATGGTAATGAGTCGTACTGGGATGTGTCGGACTATGATTTGCCGATGTTGAGTACCGAGGGATTCGTTCGGGAGTATGACCGTGCTCGGATGTCTGGTAAGGGTCCTTCTCACATGCTAGAGTTAGCTAGTGGGGACATATGTCGGGTGAGTACTTGTCTACTTAAAACAATTTTTTATGTTTTATTCTCCCTTGACTTGCGAAAAATATTGTTATTTTTTATTATTTTTTAGTTGGTGGCGACTTGGAGATATCTCATGGAGCACGGTAGGAATGCGGAGGCTAGGAAGGAAGAGGAGCGGGCTCGAGGTCAAGCGCGTGAGGATGAACTTTTAAGCCAATTGGAGGTAGCGCGGTTCGATCTTGCTCAACGCTTCGGAGGACAGAGGAGCTTGCTGAGAGGACAGATGAGCTCGAGGTTATCCGAGGTGAGGCGAAGGCGTATAAGGATGATGTTCACAAGTTGAACGAATGCTACGACCAGCTCAAGGAGAAATACGAAATTGAGAAGGCGACGGGGAAGAGGTTCCTCACGACGTCAGTTGGTGCGGCTTATAAGGAGTCCATCGTGGAGGAAAGCAAGCTTAGCTTCCGAGGTAGTGATGAGTATGCTGCTATGATTGAGGAGCATGCGTTGGCTGTGGTCTATAAGCCATTAGTGCGTGCTTGTCGCAAATATCTTCGCGGTGCGGGTGGCATCAGTGAGAAGGTGATTCGAGGGATGGAGGCTGGTATCTCGGATGGAGAGGATGATGAGGTAGATGTTGATGGGACAGGCACAGAGCTTGTGGCTGATATGGTTGCTGTTGATCCCACTGTGGGGACGTCTTCCGCCCGCAGTAGGGGAGTTTAGATTTATTTGCTAGGATAGTTAAACTTATATTTTTTTTTTTGTTTGGAGTCTTAGTTTATTTTTCTCGCTAATGTAGATGGGTATGTCCTCTACTACTTCATTTGAATTTTTTCCTTGTTTGACTTTGAAATTTAAAATTTCGATTTATTTATTTTGACATTGTCAAGAATTACTGCGTTGCTTATATGCATTTGCATTTAGCATTGTACGCGATGTACTTGAGGAGGGGATCAGTCTCCCAAGGTTTTTGTTAAGGGTCGTGCCCTTTGTTTGGACCGCTTGGGTCTTAAATATATTTGTCCGTGGCCACGTTTTAAAATGAACACCTCGTTAAACAAGTGAAGGGACTTAGATAATCCAGCTGGCCAGGCTATATGGATTTTCTAAGTCTCTCTAAGTGTTTGTAAGGTTGTTTTGAATTTGACTCTTGGCAAG